AAAGCCACATGGGAATGTGGTGAATTCACGTTTATCGATGGGAAATCATCTCACTAAAACAACTTTGCGAAAAGCACCCTCTGGTTTGTTATTTATGAATTTTATTTTAGAATGAAAATCACTATCTTTTCGCTATGAAAACCACTATTTTTTTGCTCTATTTCACTGCTTAGAAGAGGCTAAAGCACTCGGAAGTAGCCCGAATAGTTTTAAGATTGCTTAGAAGCAGTTTGAGAGGTGATTTTTGCTTCTTGAATTACATTAATACTAGTTTTTTTTACCCGAAAAAAATTGGTTTTCCATGAGAGCAGCGCCGTTTACTGTAGCCCCAAATTGGTCGATTTTGGCTAAAAAAAATTGAAAATTAAAATTCACATTACTTGTTTTATAATCACTGCTTGTGCCGTTATAATAGAAACGAAAGTTGTATTGTACACATAGTCAATTTTAAAACTAATAAATAAATGAACTTATTCTCTTTGTGTCGGGTGAAAAGCTGTGCTGATGTTTCACACTCATACCTTTAGTTATTACTGTATCGTGGTTTACAGCTAAGGGATGAAACACAGAGACTGCTTACTCGTATGTTTATGTTCATGCAGGGTTTTACTGCTTCAAAACGGATACAGTTTAAATTTTTTTAAGGATATTTTTTGGTTTTTACTGATTATTCGTAGTTTTGTCACTTTTTTCATATGAATTAAACCCCCAATCAGGGCAATATGTGCAGAAAGACTTGATTTTAGTGGCGTTACTAGGATGTTTTCACAAGCCGGCCATCACTTAGTATTTTTTAAAGAAGCATATGTAGGGAGCATGTCGTTTATAGCATATATGCTTTTTTAGTTGTTGCTGTTTTTAACACTATCAGCTTCTCAGTAAATGCAGGGATTTTTCGAGCTATCAATAAATACAGGGATTTCTTGAATTATATTTTTTTTTCTTGCAGCGAATGGACCCACTCCACGTATCCCAGCAACTCGTGCCGCACCAGTACAAAACAAAGCTCCAGTCAATGAGGCGCCAATAAAAAAAGTTGTTAAGTAGGTTTTGTGTGCAAGTAGTTCATAGTTTTTTTTTTTTTTTTTTCTGCTGAAATTGCGATATTTTACATAAAAATTTAAATCTTTCCCGACAATTTTGAATTTTTGAACTTTTGGATCTCATATTTTGAATTTCTTCGATTTTTTTTATTGGTTTTTGCGTTTATTTATTGGGAATATTAAGTTGTTTTTATTGCGTTTGTTATTTTTTGGAAATATTCCAGTTCAGTGGAATTTCAGACAACCACTAACAGGTGCAGCGCTTTCGCGCCCCACAAGCGCTCCGAAAAAACCAACAGCACAGCCGCTAACAAAGCCACCCACCACTCCAACAACCACTAACAGAACTGCTCATGCAACTGAAAATAAAGTTGCGAACAAGTCAGGCAGGCCAGCAAATGATGCGAAGAAAACCGCTGCTCCAACGACGAAGCCAAAAGAAGGCGCTAAAGAAAAAGTAAAGCCGGCCGAGAAACCAGCTACTGCACCAGAAACTACAGTTAGTGCATATTATAGCTTGAATTGCTTTAACGCCCGGGTTGTTTACTTTAGGGCCGAGCCGCGATTTCCCAGATTCCATATAATTTCCCTCAGTTGTCCAAGTACCGCATTTACAGTCGTGCAGTACTTTGATTCTGTAGAGTAAGGAACACTGAAAAACAAGACGAGTTAGAGAGTATTCTGTTCTTCACAATAACGCTGATTTATGAAAATCTAGAAAACCTATAAAATCTAATTGATCTATAAAAATTTTCCCCTTTGAAAATCTATAAAATTAGGACTTTATTCTAGTTACGGGCTTTTTATATTGACCGCAAAGTCTCTGGTGTTAGTAATAGTAGTTTTTGCTCAGATTTTTTCGATCTCTCATAAATTCCTGTATTTTAGGAAGTAATTCGTGACGCGGCTCCTCCTCCAGCGGATCTTCAACCAGCTGCCCCACCAAAGAGCCCAGAAGCACCAGCTGGTACATCTGCTGCTCTGTTGAGTCCACAGGATCCAGTGAGTCCAAATGTCCCAGATTATTCCCCTGATGCAAAAAGTCCTCTGTCACCGAAAAGTCCAGATATGCCCGAAAGTCCATTTACTCCGCAAGCTCCTGGCGCAGATGCATTATATGATAGCATTGAAGAACCGATACGAGATGCTGAACCAGCTGCCCCTCCGAAAAGCCCCGAAGCACCACCAGCCGGTTCCCCTGCCGTTGTACTGAGCCCACAAGATCCAGGAAGTCCAACAGTGCCAGAAAATTCACCTGACGCAAAAAGTTTCCCATCGCCGAAAAGCCCGGATATGCCTGAAAGCCCATTTGCTCCGCAAGTTCCTGGTGCAGATGGACTGTTGGATGGTATTGAAGAACCGATGCGAGTACGCAAAATTAGTATGGATTATACCGATGAAGAAAACAAAGTAACTGATGAGCTCTCCAAAATGGAAGTGGTAAATGCTTTTGTTGTTCGAAAAATTGGAAGACCTCAGAACCGGGTTAAGTCGTAAGGAGTGGCTCTGCATCCCAGAAATGGGGAGAAGTGTTTTTATACCCGGTGGTCAGAAATCACTGAGATTGCAAAACTTCAGCGGGATAGGGTGTTCAAAGATTGAACGGGGGTCATAGTGACGCAATTGTTCCTTACATCATTTCTAACAAAAAAACCGTAGGCCATTATTTGCCATATTATGTGTTGCCAGTCTGCTATTACATTGAATTGAAATGAACGAATGAGTGAGTTAGAAAGGCATAGATTTTCGCAAAAAGTGTGGAATTCGATGATTTTGAGAATAGACCTAATTACAGCTGCAGAAACCAGCACCAGTTGCTTTTTTTGTTTGTCTGAGAATTTTGAAAATTTAAAAAAAGTTTTT